AGCACAGCCGCTGCCGCCACTCTGTGCTCCAAGCCAGCCCCCTCCTGGCAGGAGTGGGCTTATTCAGCCACCAGCTCCAAGCAGAGGCCAAGCGGCAGTGCCAGCAGCCAGAGGTCTCTGGTTTAACTTGGATCAGCAAGAGGCCTGGGACAGACATTGCATAAACTGGTTTGACCCAAATCACTTAAGTCTGATACTACATTCAACTAGATTTATCTAAAACTGGTTTCAGCCATTTTCAAGGTGGTTTATGTGCACTGAACGTCTGTTCTGTTGTAACAGTTTACAACCAGTTCATTTAGTTTAAACCAGTTCAGTTTACGTCTGTTCAGTTTAAACCAGTTTTTGATCACTTAAATCAGTTTATGTGTAATGTCTGTCCCTAGCCTTAAAGGCCCTATATGGGCCCCATTCCTTCTGCAGCCTATTTTTTTCCTCCCGCAAGTTAGGGTCTTGAGTTCAATAGGAGTTGTTCCTTATCTTGCATGGGATCAGTTAGGGTGGATGACAACTGTGACTCTACAAACTTCCTGTTTTGTACTGTCTGTTCTTCAGGTGGGCCGGTTATGCCTTTCAAAAGGCATATAAATAAACCATTTAAAAGAAATATCCTGAGAATATAGCCTGTCAAACTTATAAATCTGGAGTGATTCTCAAGAATCAGGAGGTCCAGAATTTGAAGTTAGTACGTAGAAAGTTCATCTCTAATGTCTGCTGCATAGTGTGAACTGCATTTATGTCTTGGACTTACTCATTTTTAGAACAGTTTCAAATGTAGTGTAGCTCATAAATGAAAATGTTGGCTTGTCTGGTTTCCCTTGTTCACACCACAAAACTTTTGCATAGGTTGACACATTTTGACAACCACTAGGCTTTATTGAGAGACACTTGGGAGTGAAATTGAAAGGATGTAACAGATTGTTAACTGGAATAAAAATGAGCCGATATAAGAATCTTAATAAATAGACATACAGATTAGAAAAAAGAGTTATCACAGTTTTCCTAACAAATTATCAGCTAAAAACAATCTGTTAATTGTGAGAGTGCTGAAATTCCTCAAAGCGTCAGCTCCATTGCTTTTCATCATCTAGACCAACATGACATAGAAGTCAACACTTCTGCAGGGCACCTGGAATTAGGGTGAGGAGATCATGGGTGTTGAACCCAAGTGCAAAACTATCTGTATCTTTCACTGTGTGAAAAACTGGAGGTCCATTGTACTTGATGGAATCTAATGTTTAATGAGGATCCATTTGACTTGTCTTGCTCATCATATACTATTTCCAAGAGAGAGAGACTGGGGGCAACCCCGTGCAAATTTATTGGAGCATTGTATCTTTGGGCCCGCTCTAGTTTTATTGTTGGGTTTCTGGATTTAAATTCTTCACTAAAATACCAAAGTTCTAGTAAAGGCAGCAGGATTTATGAATTGTTCAAATTACATATTTCATTTCTGTAGCCAAAATGAACATTTCAAGCTTTAGTGTAGGTAAAGCAAAACTGATCACATTTACACTCCTGTAAATCTGGAATAACTGTTGGCTTCAGTGGAGCTACTGCAGATTTATGGCTATAAGCAAGGTAAGCATCTAGTCCATTCTTCTGCAGAGAAACCTGAGAAAGAAGTGCCTTTTTGTCAAGCTTGGAAATGACTGAGAAATTTTCTCTCACATTTTTAACAAGCAGGACTAGAATCAGTTGCATTTGTCCCTGTAATGAATGCATGTTATGCCCTTAGGTCTGATGGGAGATACATAGGTCAGGTCCAGGACAATGAAACTAGGTTGCATTAAGTCTTTTGAGATTATTTACTTGTTAAGGTTTTTTACTGAGATTTAAGGCACAGTATATTACACTTTTTGTCCTTGGCACCCACAATTAATTCTTCATGAAGCTGGGGTCTGATACTTTATCAGTAGTATTTGGCTGGGCATCCTTCCATGGGGGTCAATATTACATCTTCTCTCCAACTGTAAAGATGGACCCAGAACTAAGTTTTTGTGTTCAGGCCTTGTGCCACTGCTGCCCTGCAACTTTTGTTACAGAACATGTTCAAACCTAGAGTGGAATGCCCCGTGCACTCAGGGCCAGATCCACCGGTGACTGGTGCCTTCTGAGTCAGGGTGGGGCACATGCCCCCAGCAGTCAGCAACCGGGGGCTGGGGGGTCCCACTGCGGCTGATCCTGCTGACCTGCAAGTGGCAGTGGTGCACCGCTGACACTTTCGGGTGCGCTGCTACTTCTGGATGAGCGTGATTTGCCACGAGGGGAACGCTTCTCCTGGCGCCCCCACTTCCTGACTGGCACTCTCAGGGTGGGCACCAGTGCTCTCGCCTGTCCCCCCTGCCCAGGAACGCTGGCTGTTAGGGGGTGCACATACCCCCCTGTACACACCCTACATGTCGCCACTGGGCAGATCCAGAATGGGTGCAATGATGCAGTCATACCTTCCTTTTAGACCATGCCACGGGAACAGCAGCTGGGGACTTTAAGTCCCCAAAGTAGATAAAAACCCTGTCCCGCACTCTTGGCACCCTGTCCCTTCCCCTGTGTGCTCAGTGGTACCTCTCTTCCCTTCCATTCCCCCCACCCCCTAAGCCTGCTGCTGCTGGTGTTCCCTCTGTCCATGGCTCACCCTGGGATGTGGAGAGCTTCAGAGCTGCTCCTGCCCTGTTCCAGCTGGGCTCTGTGGGGAGTGGGGCTCATCTGGTAACAGCAGCACTGGTGGTGGCAGCAGCACTCAAGTGATTATGAGGTGGGCAAAGGCATCACACTATAAGCCAACACAGAAGCTGTATCTCAAGGTGATAATTAAAGTTGCAGAGGGCAGTGGGGAGTTCACTGGCTGACACAGCAGGCATTTTATTCCTGGTGATTTGTTGGCATCACCTAAACCCTCTGTTTTGCCATATATAATGTGGGCATATTAATTTTTGGCACCTACCTTGCAGGATTACTGTGAAGTTTAATTCATTAATACTTGCAGAGCCCTGAGAGCTCTCTAGTAGGTACTGTGGTAAGGTAGGACATTGTTGTAGTTATTGTAGTTATTATTTAGTTACTTGTTAAAGAATGAGGTTGGTTAACAAAGACCTTATAATGCCCCCTAGTCTTTCGCACAAAGAAATATACTTAGAGTAATGACTCTAATAACTGAACAGTAATGAAAAATAAAAAAGGCATTGCTTCCTTCTGAAAACCACTAGAATTTGCATAAACCACTTTGACTGTCTGGTAAATGCTTATATGCTCGGTCAGTCCCTAGAGAGATTAATATTAGCTTGTTTTTAGTGAAACTTTATAAAAGCGTTGTGTATTTTGGGCCATGTGTATTTTTTAACTTCAAAACAATAATCTCTTCTTCCAGTCAACAGCACACCAAAGTTAGGATAAGACATAAAAAACATGGCTTATTTTGTTGTTGTGGTTTGAGTGTTCCTTGTTCAATCTGCTTTAACTATGAATCCAAAATAACGGTTGAAAACCTACCTTGTTTGGAGTCAACTGGATTCAGTGAATACAGGATTTTGTCTGATAAGCTATTTCTTACTATTGTAAATTAGGTATTGGATTTACAAAAGGCAAGATGCCCAGGGCCACATGAAAAACAACATATCTAATAGTCATTCACCTTTATTGCAATTGTGTCTACAAATGGTATTTATATATACACAACTAAGTTACCTCTTGAATGCAGAACTGTAGAAATGTATGCAAAATGGCACGTCTGTTTATTTAATTTGGACTTATATCCTTTGGAAGTCAGGTCCTTATGTATACTGAATGTTGTTGTTATTATGATTATTACAATTATTAATGGACTTTACATAGCTTTCTGAAGTGCTATACACATTAATTTGGGCACCACTGAAACAGAGCTCCCTCGAGGCTGTTGTTTTTCTTATGCTCTGTGGAGGCAATCAGGATGGGCTCGGAAGTAGTAGTTGGTAACCAGAAAATGGTGACAGGGCACTAGCCCTTAGCATTTGTTCGCTCTTCCAGATAGAGACCATGCTTTCCTCGGTGTATACAGTGCCTTCAGTAATGCACCCCAATCCCTATCTAGTTCTTCGGTATGCATAAAAATTGTAGCAACACATTCTTTCATGATATAGTGCAATGCTTTGATGATATAGTGCAAGATAGGGCTTTGATGATATAGTGCTTTGATGATAGGGCTTTGATGATATAGTGCAAAATGCACCTGTTAAATGAGCTGGTGGATTAAGTCCAGATTTCCACTGTACAGGTATACCTATCATACAGTCCAACACAATGACTAGCTTCTGGGCTATACCTGTGTTGCATGGCGTAGTGCTGAGCAAAGATACCCAACCTAGCTGTAAGCATCCCAGAAACAGCATACCTGTGTTATACCGGTGCTCCACCCAGGCTGATATGCACTGCTTTTCAACAGGGCTGATTAACCCAAGGCAAAGTGTTGTCCTAATGTGACTATACTGTTTTTTTAGATCCAGTCAAATTCTTGGGTATCTATCTCTTACTGCATTATGCCTTTTACATATACACTAAATAACACCCTTTTAGCAAAAAAACCCCCAAAACAAACAAAAAAATCCCCCCCCAGGGTTGGATAGGCAGTGATACTAAACTACTTAGACATGGATCCTCAAGAATAAAGTAGAAAGCACATTGCCAAGGTGTCTTGAGAGAGGCATATGTCATCCCCTGCCCAGGAAATACCTGTTCTGTGGATACAAGTGTTTAGTCTTTAAGGATGACAGACCAGGACCTGTCACCTAAATAAAGCTGGAATAACTATGTCCTTGATCTGGCTAATGACCTTTCATGGGTAAACTCCTGTGCTAGTTTAGAGCCCTATTGAAGGGTTCATGAGCATCAGAAAGAACGGACTCTTGGCATTGTAATGCTAACCCGCCTTGTGCAAATTAGAGAACTTGTTTTTGTAGTCTAAAAATAAAACCCAAACAAGTCCTCAAACTCTCTAAACTCCAATTTGTTTTCTTCCTGTAGAAAAAAAGAAGTCTTAAAGTCACACTGTTTACGGCTTTCCTTTTTTATTGCTGATGAAGCTTGTCACAACGGATATGCCTGTTTGACTGTCAGGGTTGTGATCATGGAAAAGCAACCGTTAAACAGCATCCTTGATCAGTTTATCAATAGCCATGAGCAGACGTATGAAGAGTTTCTAGGCACGTTCACTTATCTTTTGAAAGGTATGTCAACTTCCAGAATCTCACAGAACAAATTCAGTTTGCAAAGTGAAATCTTTTTCAAGTATAAAGAGAGATAACCTTGTCCACTGGGTAGGGTACTGACCAGCCAAGCTCAGAGACATGGGTTCTCTTTCTAGTACCACCACTAACCTGCTGCATAACCTTGAGTGGGTCATTTCAGTTCTCTTCGCTTTCATTTTCCCTGCTGCTTTTTTTTGGGTTGCCTATTTAGATTATAATATCTTGGGGGCAGAAACTGGCAGTTACTGTGTGTATGTACAGTACCTAGCACAGTGAGTACTTAGACTTGACTGGGGCCTCCACATCTGGAATGATAATAGGTTAAGTCGTGGGTGTTTAGTTGTTTCTTTTTTTCCTGTTTCTTTAATGAGATGGTACTTTGAGAAACCTGGCGGTTGTCTCATTTTGTTGTTTGAGCTAATGATCACCTTTGAAATCCACAGCATCACCATTATTAACCACTTTAAATAGCTTGTTAGGGCCTGAACATAATGCTAGATGAGCATTATGTAAGAAGTCAGGAATCTTTCCTGGATCTGCATTTCATTGTGGTTTAGGAATGTGGAAGACACTGAGCCAGAATTTTTCTACTTAGAGCAACTTCAGGTAATCATTATTCAGCTGACAATATAGATTTTGTTCCCTGCCCCCCCATATTTCAGAATTTTTGCTGCAGTGCCTTTCACTGAAATCAAGTGAAATCAAGTTGATTAGAGCAGAACCTCAGGAATTATATTAATTAAAAATTAATCCTTTTATTTTGAAGACATGCAGCAATACAAGATGGCCTGTGGCTTCTGGTTGTGTGAACACTGATTTTATGAACACTGATTACACGTATTGTCCAAGCTATGATATTTACTAACTCGGTCCTCTGAGTAACTTGGGTCAGTGAAGGATGAGTTTGGTCAAAACAGAAGACCTTAGACTGAATGAGGATTTTAAGTTTTTTTTCTTAGGTTTGCATGGTTTCTAAATTCAGTGAGCATTAGTGCAACTTAAACAGCCTCCAAGATTTGGATAGGGAAGTTCAGCTCTGGGTGCAAAATATGTAGCTCAGACTCATCTCTGATGAGCACAGACCTAGGGATTCTTTAAATCAGTCTTATAAAATGAATATGTCAGTTTGATATTGCCGAATTACATTGCTTGCAACCGCAGTTGTCTATTAAGAGTGATATCCCTATATTATTCCGGAAGTAATGTATTTTCCAATTACACCATGTGGCACGATCCATTGATTGGCACTCAGAACCCTGCTCTGTCCTTGTCCTTCAGGCAGAACTGAGTGTCAGTCACAGGCATTGAAGCAGAAAACCAGTCAGGGGGAGTGGAAACGGCTCTTGTGGCAGGCTTCCTTTCCCAGACCCAGAAAACCAAAGGAGAAATTCAGACATTGGAAAATAAGATTAGGTAATTTAAAATTTGCTTCTGGTACAAATCCTACTATTTTGTGTCGAGCTTGTTTAACTGAGGAGAACTGAGACCTCAAACATAGGGAACAGATCACCTTGCAAAAAGCTACAGGATGTATCTCCATCACATTGATACTCAGTACAGCATCTGCCTCCAAATATATGCATATAAAACATAACTGGAGTTCCAGCTGCAATAAATGATTGTACCAGCACAGAAAACTGCATTTCTAAACAAAATAACTTGGGTTGCTTTTTTTTTCCCCTTTCAAAATACCCAAAGGCACTGGTTCACATTATAAACTAATGACCTGCAAAAATTCCACTTAAAGCACAAAGCCTTTCAGGGTTGGAACAGTGCAAAATGCATTTTAAACTATCACTTTCCTATTTTCTTTATTTTGCACTCACATATCTTGAAAAATAGTCATTCAGATTTTAATGAAAATAAAAGGAAAATGGGGTGGCTCAGGCTGTATCTGATACTAGGGCACAGCTTTTTCACTTTCAGGTCACAAGTTCAAATCCTAACTATTACCAGATTTAAAAAAATGACCTGTGATATTTGCAAGATTAAATCTGAATGCACAGTTTCTATGATTATATATTTGGAGACCAGGCACTGCAGTATTAAGCACTGTACTCAGACATTTTTAGACATGTAATAACCATATGTATGCATAAATATCCAATATGGCTATGCCCTTGTGTGTGCAAAGGTATACATGCTTCTATATGCAGATTTCTTCATGAGGACTTAGTACTTCGTTTAAATAATGATTTTCCTTGAAAGTTACTGCTATCTAAAGGCTCTTTGCTGGTCATATGGTTAGAAAAACAGGATAGAAAGAAACCCCAAAAGATTCTTAGAGTGTTCAGTGTGTTGAGGATATGAGCTACCCTGAAATATTTTATGATGTTTATATTTATGTTGACACTCTCCTATTGACAGTGTTTTAAACCTCTGTTCCTTTTAAGTTTAGGAAGCTAAATATTAATGGAATTTAGCACTTCTTATCTTCTTTGGCTATATTAAAAGTATTTGTCTCCAAGAAAGAAAAAAGAATACCAATGATGTAATATTGTCTGTGCTTTACATTACCCTCTGCTGCGGTATACAGAAGTGGATAGAGATTCTATTATTATTATTATTATTATTATTATAATACTCCAAGTTAAAAGTCTTCTATTAGCATAATTAGGCTAAATTGTAGAATGGAAAGGCTAGGATCCTATACCTAAAAGCTTTGTATGGTTTATCTAGCAATAATTCTGTTTTAAGTGTCCCATGAAACCCTTGCGAGGGGAAAAAAAATAAAACATATCTTTAGTACAGGAAATTCATCTTCCTGATTTGGGAAATACCAAGTGTAACCATCTTGAATCCAGAGTCTACGGGTGTTTATACATGTGCTCTGGGAGTGAGGAGTGGGGGTGGACTTTAATTAGACTTTAATTAAAGTGCCCCGAGTATCACATCTATGAGTTTCCTTGTGCTGGAAAATGGTGCCGGGGGTGCTTTAGCTAAAGCTTGTCAAACGAGCTTTAGTTAAAGCGCCCATGCCATCATTTTTCAGTGTGGGGATGCTGATACACATGATGCTGGAGTCTGCTGGAGCACGGTATTTACCATGCTTCAGCAGACTTGATTAATTAATTACAGCACATTGTAGCAGCTTCGCTGCACATGTATAGGTGCCCTATAACACTAAAATTGACTTGCTGCTTGTGGGAGAATGAGAGTTCAAAAACCAACTGACTAGCACAACTAACTTCTATCAGAACTTACGATGATGGTAAGTAGATGGTTCAAATTTGTTAAACATCACTTCAGAAAGAGTAAACTCAGCATTTTAAACATTTGAAGTCCTGCAAAAATGACTCAGATTTTGAATATATCATCTTTCAGAAATTCACAATATGTGACAGTACTCCATGCATAATTGGTGGAGAATTTATTAATTTTTATTGATCCTTTTATGTAGATGTGCAGTTGAGATTAGCCTTCAAGGTGTCCTTGAATCTCTTCTTTTGCCTACCTCTAGAGCAGTGACCATTGGTGAGTTGGGAGTGTAGGACCTGTTTAAGGAGCTGGTTGTCAGGCATCCTTATAACACGTCCTGTCTAATAGAACTGGTGCCATACCATATAAACATGGCTTCAATACCAGCCAGAATTCTGTCTTCTGTTCTTCCAACTGATATGGAGGATTTTCCAAAGACATTACCAATGACAAAATTTCAAAGCTTTCAGATGTTTCTAATCTGACATCCAAGTTTCACACACATACAACAGAGTAGGGATGACAATAGCCTGGTAGACAGGAAGTTTGGTTTGGCTCCTGATATCATGATCATCAAAGACATGATTTTGGAGATGTCCAAAAGCAGCACTGGCAGATTTTATCTGGTGTTGAATATCGTCATCTATGTTTAGCTTTTGGGAAAGGTGGCTACCTAGGCAGGGGAAATGCTCAACATTATCCAAGGATTGCCTTCTAATTGTAATATGTGGAGGAGTTGCTGGTTGGTTTGGGGTGGGTTGGTAAAGTGTCTTAGTTTTCATGAAGCTGACAGTGACTCCAAACATTTTCTATGCTTCACAGAAGCAATCGAGAGCTTGCTGAAGCTCTTTTATTGAGTGGTACACACAACACAGTCACTGGCATATTGAAAATAAGAAACAGAGGGGTTTGTTGTCTTTGATTGGGAACATAACTGATTGATATTAAGGAGGTCTGCGTCCGTGCAATACTGGATATTGACTCTAGATGGAAGTCTGTCAACAACAAGATGCAGACTAGCTGTGATATAGGTAGAAAAGACTGTTGGTGCAATCACACATCCTTGCTTGAGTCCAGTTCTAATAGTCCATTTCTAAGCTATTGCTTAGGACACAATGAAAGAGTCTGATAGTGGCAATAGTCTGATAATGGCAATTTTAGTGGGTATTCAAACCTTATTTGGATCTTCCATAGGGCATCTCTTGTGCCTGAATCAAAGGCCTTAGTTCAGTGAAGTCCATGTAAAGATCTTGGTGTTGTTTGCAACACTTCTCCCACAGCTGTCTAGCAACAAAGATCTTATCTATTATACTTTTGTGTGGTCTGAAACCACCTTGAGGCTTAGAGGGAATCTCCTAAGCAAGGAAAGGGAGTTTGAGGAAAAAATAGGCAAGGATCTTCTAGCTATGGAATTGGACAGGCGTGCAATACCACAATCATTGCTGCAACCTGTTTTATCTCCTTTTTGACTATGAGAATGATTCTGTCATCTGTCAAGTCACTGGCAATTTTTTTCATGTTTCCAGATTTTCAAAATAATGATGTGTATCTGGAGTGAGAGCTTTTTCCCACCTTACAGATTTCAGCTGGTATTCCACCAGGACCACATGCTTTGTTGTTCTTCATCTGCTTAATGGCTTTCAAGACCTCTTGATAAGTTGATGGATGTGCAAGGCAGTTCTCAATGGGGTCTTATGGAATGGTTTTAGCTTTCAATGACTTTGAAACCCCAGGAAATAACTTATGAGATAATGTTACATATGGAGGTTGTGTCATATTTT